GGCCCGCCGCCGCCAGCGCCGCGACCGCCTCCCGCCACCGCGGCGGCGCCATCGCCGCCGCTGGGGCGGGGGCCTCCCGCCCGGGAGGGGGGGGGGGCCCGCCTGCGACTAAAAAGTTTGCCTCGGGGCCGAGGGGGGGGGCGGCCATCGAGGATCGGAGGTCCCTGGAGGGAGATGGTCGAAGATAGAGGCGTGGAGGGGAGGAGCGAGGGGGGAGGAGCGGGCGGGTCGTCCACACGATTTAGCTGGATTAAGGGGGACTCTGCAGAATTAGGACGGTTGTCGACCACGGCCATACCAGCGACGATGCTGAATTCGACCTCCCAGGATTTGCATCCAAACAACCATGCAGAACTAAAAAGTGTGCCTCGCAGCCGAGGGGGAGAAGGAGGATCGAGGATCGGAGATTCCTGGATGTTTTGGGAGGCTTCCGGGCCGCGGGATGCTTCGCTGAAGGCCCCCCTTCCCCCCACGAGTGGCAAGTTTGCCACGAAGCCGAGGGGGAGGGGGACCCCGAACTCCTCTCCTGGCGACCAAAAAAAACTGCGACGGGAGGCGTTGGCCTGTTTCTCTGGTCTCTGGGGGCCCTGACCGGGCCGCGGGACCGTCCACAGACCACCCGGGGTGAAGCCCCAGTCCCTTGGGAGGAGGTCCAGAGCTCCTGGGGCCCACGCCGCGACGCCACCGCGACGTCGGGGACTGTAGACAAGCGCGCCCCACGACTCGCCGAGCGGCTGCTCGCAGATTGCCCGGATCCGCCGCGGGGGATGCACGACCCATCCCGTCGAGACAGCTGCGCACGTCTTCTGCACGCGCGCGAAGGGGCCCTTGGCGAGGTCAGCGGAAGGCGCTCGGCAAGATTCTAGGGGGGGGGATCGAGGACCGGAGGCGTATGTTGCTCCCATCGTGCTTATAAAAGACCACATCCCAGAAACAACTTGGAGCACCCGGAAAAGTGTGGAGAGAGTGTCGAAAGAGTGTCGAAACAGTGTCGGGCGAGTGCCTCCCAGGGCCCGGCACGTGAAAACCCCAGGGTTTTGGGGGTACTTTCCTGGTGCTCGACATCCTTTCTGGTGATCCAGGCGACAATAGGCTGGAACATCACAACCCGAGGCTCCCGGAGGTCTCGGGAGGCTTCCCCCCCCGGGGTGCTCTCCTCTCCAGCAGCGGCGCCTCGTCGCGAGCGGCGTCCGCGGGTGCCCGCGGCCCGAGCGGCGGTCCGAGAGCCGAGGAGGAAGGGGGGGGGGGCCGAGGAGGGCGGGACACCGGGAGCGCAGGGAGGGGCAACGGCAGGGGGGGGGGGGGCTGGCAGTAGGGGGGGGGGCACATCGACCTGGCATCGGCGATGCGTCGCCGATGCATGTGCGCTGGTGGATCCGCACGTTCCTGGGCAGCTTGGGGCTATCGGGCCCCTTCTCGGCGATCCATGGGCGATTGGGGGCCGATGCGTCCCCCCCTATGCCTATCCCCCCCTATCGTTGCCCCTGAATGTTTTTGGAGTCCCGGAACGGTGCGGTGACAGACCGTGCGGTGACCTCGAAATCCCCCAAGACCTCACCGCACGGTCCGTCAATGCACGGTTTTGGGACCTCGAATGCCCCAGTCGCCCGAGACGTCCTCGGAGAACGACCCGAGTCTTAAACCGTGCGGTGACCCCGAATCCCCACCGACGCACCACACGGTGTGGTCACCACCCTGTTTGGGGGCCGCCGAGTGAAGGGGCAAACGAACCTACCTCGTTTTTGACCACCCTCGCTTCCAAGAGCTACCAAGCGATGCCAAACTACGGCCCGCACTGGTCAGGCCGCTCGACAAGGGAGGCGTGTGGTATGACTTGGTTTTGCCTGGAAGCGAAAGCGGGGTACGCTCTGAGAGTGGGCGTCTCGGAAAAGCCGAGACTGCGGACTGCCTTCGTTTTCGGCCTCTCTGGGCCCATGCCGGGCCTCGGGGACCGCCCGAAGACGACTCGGGATGAAGAGCCGGCTGCCGCGAGGCGGTCGAGGAACCGGGGGGGCCGTGCCTCGAGAGAAGCGAGACGCCGGACGTCTGGGGAGGCTCCGAGGGCGAGAGAGGGGCTCCCCTCGGGAGGCGGGAGCGCCTTCGCCGCCGCACGGGAAGAGAAGGCCTTCCCGCTCTCACACGAAGCCACGTCCAGGGCAACAGGTTCGGGAACGCTCTGGAGCGATACGTTCTGGTCCTGACCCCGCCCGGCTCTCCCCCCAAAAGCGGTTGCGAAGCGTGCGGTGCCCTCGAAATCCCAAGAGGCCGCACCGCACCGTCCGTCATCGCAAGGACTTGGGACCTTGGAGGCCCCAGTCGCCCGAGGCATCCTTGGAGAACGAACCGAGCCCCCAAGCCGCGCGGTCAGCCCGGATGCCTACTGACTCAGCACACGGTGTGGCCACCGCACCGTTTGGGGACCCCCAAAAGTGCAGGCCCCTCCGCAACTTTGTATGTTGGGAGCCCGGGGGCAAGATGACCCAAGATCGAATCGGACAATGGAATCGGCCTTCGAGATGCGTCCAGCGGGCAGAAATCGGCAGGTAGATCGGACAACATCCAAAATCTGTGCCGGAGGCTCCCAGAGGCGCCCAAGAGGCCCAAGGAAGCCTCCAAGAGGCCTCCAAGAGCACCCTCAGAGGCCGCCCAGAGGCCGCCCAGAGGCGCCCAAGAGGTACCCGAGAGGCCGCCAAGAGGAACCCTAAGATACTTCCAGAAGCATACAAGAAACTCTGGCCCACAACCCAAGCACGGTGGCCTGGTGGACCGAAGGACACTGCATATTGCACTGAAGATTCGAAGACCTTTGACAGATTTATCTAGCGTGTCTTCTGTTCCAGACTGTGAGGTTCCACACGCTTTCCACATTTGATTTCACCTTGCGCATGCCACTGTAGTGGTCTTGGAAGGCGTTGTAGGACACACGCACCATTGGGAAGCGAACGGGGAGCTTGACAACAATATGTTTGTAGCATGTCCTCGGTGGTGTCTGATCACAAAACTGTTCTGCGACGAATGCTGCAAGCGATCCCCTTCCAGCTAGCGGCCAGTGATTAGTCTAGCCTCGTCATGTGTGCCATATTTGTCCACATCAGTTCCAACACTCCCACGCAGCAAAGTAAATGTGTATTTAAGTCCGTAGCGTTAGAGAATCACTTCCAAGCTCTTCATGCGCAATCATTGCTGAAAGGGGCATCGCCTGAACCACACGCTTCGTAAATGTATCAAGTGGCGTCTTGGGCTGGACCATCTGCATACTCGGGTGGGCGCTCGGTTGCGCCGAAACCATCTCAAAATCACAAATGCTATGCAACAAGAACTCGATTTCATCGTTAGCCACACTAGTTCTTTCTGGGGTGCTTCAGCGGCCCTCTAGAGCCAACAATCACTCCAGTACTCTCGAGTCGGTCGTGGCTCTTTCGGATGCTGTTGCACAGAAGTTAACATGAAAATTATATTCCATGTACATACCGTTGCGTGCTCTGGTGAATTGAATTTGTCTGCTCGATCTTCGTGGTACGTCTGGGGAAACGTCCAGTCACTCCGAATAGTTTCTCGAACATGCCTGCGTACTGCACAGTCCGACCATCCAGATAATTCTAGCGCTCGAGTACTGCCATCTTGCGTCAGTCACGACTTCACTTCGCGTTGCTGTCGCCTAAATATTGAAAAACGCTGCCTCCTCTGCTCCACCAATCCGTCGTTCATCGCTGAGGCTTCTCTGCAAGCAGGGCCTCTCCCGAAATAACTAGGGCGTGCAGGAGGAAGAGCGCGAGAAGGAACCTCGGGGAGGAGAGGGCGAGGACCAGGAGGTCGGGTGAGGGGGTATTCGAAGGACGAGGGGCACGAGGATGAAGAAAGGCGTAGTGACCCGAAGACCCAACGCTGCGAAAACATTATATAAACATCATAGAAAAAACACGGCCAGAAAGATCGACCCCATCCTTCTGCAACATTTGTTCGGGCCCGATCCATCTGTGAGGGTCCAAGGGCCCGAAACCGTGCGAAAACACCCGGTGCGAAAAAATGCAACGCCCGTATCTCATGAGGTGAGGTGGAGGGAGGGAGGCTATCGTCAAAATCCACAATAAGTATGCGCTGCTTCATCGAGGCTACCCTTGCATCCCTGCATCTTCGGCCCATCCTGAGCCAATGTTGACGTCCAGGGAACTCTACATGATCAATGGGACTTCCAAGGGTCTTGCATCTTTACCTTGGGAAGCTAAAGGGCACCGATGCCGCTACTCCCCTGACCTCTCTCGGGGCGCGTTCTGACCAGAATTTCGAGGCGACTCCAGCGGTGGCAACGAGGGCCTCCCAGGAGGCCCCAAAAAGCGAAAGCGAGGGAAGGGTAGCGGTACGGGTACCTTTTCCTCTTCTGACTACCGTGCGTCCTTCAGGGCTGGAGCTAAACGTTGTGTTCCGTTTTGTTGTCGCTATGTTGTTCGTCTTGCTCTACCTGCTTTCCCGTACCTACCTCCCAACACGAGACACAGAACACGGCCGAAGCCCAGCAAAACAGCATTTAGTTCCAGCCCTGGCGTCCATACTGTGGTTATTGTTGGCTGTGATGTCACGAGCTGGGCGGCGGGAGGCCGGCGGAGGAGGAGGGAGGAGGAGGAGGAGGAGGAGGAGGGAGGAGGAGGGGAGGAGCAAGAGGAGGAGGACAAGGAGGAGGGGGAGGGGAGAGGGAGGGGAGGAGGAAGGGAGGAGGGAGGAGGAGGAGGAGAGGAGCAAGAGGAGGAGGACAAGGAGGAGGGGGAGGAGGGAGGAGGAGGAGGAGGAGAAGGAGAGGAGGAGGAGGAGGAGGAGGAGGAGGAGGTGGAGAGGAGGAGGGGAGGGGGGAGGGAGGAGGAGGAGGGGAGGCAGGAGGAGGAGGAGGAGGAGGAGGAGGAGGAGGAGGCGGAGGAGGAGGGGCGGGGAGGAGGAGGAGGAGGAGGAGGAGGGGGGGAGGAGGAGGGAGGAGGAGGTGGAGGAGGGAGGAGGGAGGAGGAGGAGGAGGAGGAGGAAGGGAGGAGGAGGAGAGGAGGAGGAGGAGGAGGAGGAGGGAGGAGGAAGAAGAGGAGGAGGAGGAGGAGGAGAATTACCGCGCGTCCTTACTGTGGCTTGCGGCTGTGACGTCACGAGCTGGGCGGCGGGAGGCCACGCGGGGGCCCTGTCTTGCGCACCGGGCGCCTGCAGGGCGTGCGAGCGGGGGGGCTCCCGGCGGACCGCCCGCGGGGCCTCGGTGGTCAGACGCAGCAGCACCTCCGTCCGTGTCCCCTATGTGGCATCTCTTCGGTTCTTTTCCTCCTCCTCCTCCTTGCCTCCTTCCCTCCTTCCTTCCTTCCCTCCTTCCCTCCTTCCTCCCCACTCCCCCCCCCTCTCCTCCTCCCCCTCCCCCCTCCTCCTTCCCCTCCCCCTCCTCCCTCCTCCTCCTCCTCCTCCTCCTCCTCCTCCTCCTCCTCCTCCTCCAGATCCTGGCGCTGCCATCTCTTCACCGCGGGCGTGCTCGCCAAATCTTCGGGCCCCTCCCTCCACCTCACCTCATGAGGTCCTGGCGCTGCATTTTTTGTTCACCACGGGCGTGTTCCCTAAATCCTCGGGCCCCGGGGCCCTCTCACAGATCGATCGGGCTCGAGAAATGGAGCAGAAAGATGGGGTCCGGGGCTCCGGGCGTGACTTTTTGCGATGTTGCATTTGTTTTGCAACGTCGGATCTCGGGGTCTGTGCTGGTCTCAAGGGATGTATGCACACACACACACACACGTGTAGGCCATGCGAGTTGCAAGCGTGAAGCGGCAAGACTGCCCTGGCGTAATCACGCCCGCCGATGTCCACAACCTTAGTGTCTGCTCCCCGGCCTGTTGCCCTCACCACACGATTACCAGACGACTCAAAGACAACTCTATGACACTATATCGTGCGCTCATCGTGAGCTCTGGAGTCCCTTGATATTCGGATCGGTGAGTGTTGCTTCGCCATGCTACTTATATGTGACCTATTTGACCTATAACAAATTACCTGCGCCGTCCTACTCATCAGGGGTAAGCTACCTCCGTCCGCTGTACCAGTCGGATGAGGTGAAACAAAAACACCTTGCCGCGTAGAGACCTTGTACGCAGCCTTGCCCCCCCGTGGTGCGCAACGAGACTGGCCTGCTAACAGACACCCCGCTAAACCGATGTGGCTTGCCAGTCGCGTGCATACATTCACACACAGATGCAAATCAATGTACACACATGTCTATATATATATATATATATACAAGATTTTACCGGCTCGCTGCGCTTCGCCTTTAAAATCTTGGTCGCAAGGGCCCGTAGGGCTCATAGGGCTCATGGGGCTCATGGGGTGTCGGAAGGCTCATGGGGCTCAATGGGCTCGTAGGGCCCATGGGGCTCACGGGGCTGATGGGGCTCATGAGGCTCATACGGGTCGTAGGTGTCCAGTGGTTCATGGGGCGCGTAGGGCTCGGAGGGCTCGTAGGGCTCGCAGGGCCCGTGGGGGTCATAGGGCTTAGAGGGCGGACGGGGCTTGCAGGGCTCCTGGGGCGCGTAGGGCTCGCAGGGCTCGTAGGACTAATGGGTTCACGGGGCTGATAGGGGTCAGTGGGGTCTTGGGGCTCGTGGGGCTCATACTGGTCGTAGGGCTCGTGGGCTCCGTAGGGCTCATGGGGCTGATGGGGCTCGTGGGGGTCGCAGGGGTTGTACGGCTCGTAGGGCTCATAGGGGTCGTTTGGCTCGTGGGGCTCTTGGGTCTCTCGGGGCTCATGGACTCGGAGGGCCCATGGGGGTCGTGAGCTCATAGGGCTCCCAGGGCCTGTAGGGCTCATAGGGCTCAAGGGGCTCATGGTGCTCGGAGGGCTTATGGGGCTCGGAAGGCTCATGGGGCCCAATGGGTTCGTAGGGCCCATGGGGCTCACGGGGCTGATGGGGCTCATAAGGGTCGTATGGGTCAAAGGTCTCCTGGAGTTCATGGGGCGCGGAAATCTCAGAGGGCTTGCAGGGCGCGTAGGGCTCGTACGGCTCATGGGGTCACCGGGCTAATGGAGGATTCCTAATAGAGGCTATGGCGCATAGGGCTCGTAGGGCTCGTTGGGCTCGTAGGGCTCATGGGTTCACGGGGCTGATGGCCCTCAGAAGGGTCACGGGGCTCGTGGGCCTCATATTGGTCGTAGGGCGTGTGAGTCCGTAGGGCTCGCAGGGCTCATGGGGCGCGTGGGGCCCACAGGGCACGTACGGTCCACAGGGCTCGTAGAGCTCGTGGGGCTCTGGGGGCTCATAGGCTCGCAGGGCCCATCGGGGTCGTAGGGCTCATGGGGCTCCCGAGTGCCGTAGGGCTCATCAAGCTTATGGGGCTCGTCGTGCTGGGAGGGATTATGGGGGTCTCGGGGGGCGCATGGGGCTCAATGGATTCGTAGGGTGCGTGGGGCTCGTAAAGCTTGTAGGGGTCGTAGGGCTCATGGGGTTCATACGGCTCATGGGGTCTGATCCGCCTCCTCCTCCTCCTCCTCCTCAGTATCGTCTTGTTCCTCCTCCTTTGTTGTGTTTCGTGCCTTCTTGCTCGTACAGTCCCGCCGGCTTTTGGTGTGGCGCCGTTGGCCGGCGGAGCTCCATGACCGCAGGCCCGGGAGGGGGAGGATGGGGGTAGATGGGGAGAGGATTTGTGGAGAGAAGGGCTCATGGGGCTGGCGGGGCTCGTACGGCTCATGGGGTCACAGGGCTAATGGAGGATTCCTAATAGAGGCTACGGCGTTTGTAGGGCTCCTATGGCGCATAGGGCTCGTAAGGCTCGTAGGGCTCGTAGGGTTCATGGGTTCACGGGGCGGATGGCCCTCAGAAGGGTCATGGGGCTCGTGGGCCTCATATTGGTCGTAGGGCGGGTGGGCCCGTAGGGCTCGTAAGGCTCATGGGGCGCGTGGGGCCCAGAGGGCCCGTACGGCCCGTAGGGCTCATAGGGCTCGTAGGGCTCGTGGGGCTCTGGGGGCTCATCGACTTGTAGGGCCCATGGGAGTCGTAGGGCTCGAGGGCCCCAAGTGCCGTAGGGCTCATTGGGCTCATGGGGCTCATGGTGCTCGGGGGGATTATGGGGGTCTGGGGAAGCTCATGGGGCTGAATGGATTGGTAGGGCGCGCGGGGCTCGTAGGGCTCGTAGGGCTCGTAGGGCTCATGGGTTTCATGCGGCTCATGGGGTTTGATCCGCGTCCTCTTCCTCCTCGTCCTCCTCCTCCTCCTCATTATATTATTGTTCCTCCTCCTCTGTTGTCTTTCGTGCCTTCCTGCTCGTACCCTTCCGCCGGCCTCTCGCGCGGCGCCGCGGGCTGGCAGAGCTCAATGACTGCAGGCCCGTGAGGGGAAGGAGCGGAAGACGAGGAGGAGGAGGATGAGGGTAGAGGGGGAGAGGGTTTTTGGAGAGAGTGGCAGAGAGGAAGAGCAGTTGAGGAAGCTACTCAGGGAGCTCCAACGGGACGTCGTGGTCGATGTGAGGCCGAGGCGCCCGAGGGCGCAAACAGAAGGCCATGCTGAGGTCGGCCAGCGTGAGCGGCGGGGCCTCGCCGAGCATGGAGTTGACGTAGGCGATCGCGTGGACGGCGTCGTCGTAGCCGACGATGCCGACCTCGGCGGCGCCGTCGGAAGTCCCTGGGAGGAGCTCGGTGATCACGTCCCAGTCCGGCTTGTCCCACGTGCAGGCGTCGTCGCGGCGGACCGCGTGAAGAAAGATCTGTCGGACCGTGTGTCCCCGCAGGTACTTGCACCCGGCGTGGAGGTGCATAAGCTTCGTCTTCCGCGACTCCAGCCGCGCGTGGAGGACACTTGGGCGCCATTCGGCAGGCGGCGTCGTGGTGAAGTGGTCTACGAACTGGCGAAGGGCCGCCATGCTGGCGTCGTCGTTCACGAGTTCCTGGAGCACGGCCAACCCGCCGACGGGGCGGCGGGTGTCGAACCGCGACTCTCCGGGCTTGAAGCGCTCAGTCAAATGGTGGACGACGTCTATGGCGTTTTGCACGGTGAACGTGGCGGCGTGGGAGGATACCCACTTTGCAAAGGCGAGCACCACGCGGCGCCGAGGCGCCACGTGCATGAGAGTCAACCAACCGAAAATGTCTTCGTCGCGGTCCAACGCAGAAGTCAACACGGACTCTGCGTAAAGAAGCGTCTTCACGTCAGCTCGCTCGGCGATCCTGGACCAAACTGGAGAAGCAGACGCGGCGTCCGCAGATAGACACGTTGCGAAGTCGACGAAGGCAGCGGGAGGCTCCCAGGAAGCCTGTTCGTCTGCGAGGTCGTTGTGGTTGTGGTCTGCTTTGGGCGCTTCGTCTGGAGCCGGATCTGGTGGAGGTACCACCGCGTCTGCAAGGGCAGGAGCTGCGGGGGGAGCTTCGTCTCCGGCGGCCTCGGTGTCGAGCAGCGCCTGCAGCTCGGCGACCTCCGCCCGCAGGCGGTGGAGCTCCGCTAAGGCGAAGGACGGGCCCGCGGGGGCCTCGCCCGCAGCCGGGGGCGTCCACCGCGGGACGAGTCGAGCGAGGAGCGTGGCGCGATTGCCGCGCACAGACAGTCCGCGTCTGCCGCATAAGGCGGACAGCCCGGCCCATGACGCTGTAAAAATCGAGTCGTCAAATGGGACATCTGGAGGAGGGCCGGTGGATCGGTGTTGCCGCTTTGCCATGGCGGGGAGAGCCGAAGCGGCCCAAGCGGGACCGAAGAGTCCTGAAGCCAAAATGGAAACGGACAGAGGTTGCAGGAAGGTGGAGTGGAGAGAAGGAGCGAGAGGCAGGAAGGGATGCAGAAGGCAGGGGAGGGGGGGAAAGGAAGAGGGAGAGAGACGCAGGAATGAACGATTGTTGTTAGTGGGCCGCTGCTGCCGTGGACGTCCAGCAGCGGGTCAGGACGGGTCTCCGATGCCAGATGAACTTGGGACGGGTGGTCTGAAAACGGTCTGAAGAGGTAGAGTCGTGAAGTACTTGACCGTCGAAACTGGATATGAGAGTCATGTCTCCTGTCTTGCCTTTCCTGTCTCATTCCTCCTCCCGCTTGGTCTCGGTGCATGTAACCGGAAAGAAAAGAGTATGGCATCTCGGGGCCTTCGTGGGGCTCCCTTTGGGGCTCTTTTGGGTCGTCTGGCGGCCTTCCTGGGCCGTCCCGGGACCCTTTTGGGCCGTCCTGGGGGGCTTAAGCCGTCTTGGGGCTCTCTTGGGCCCTCTTGAGGGCTTCCTGCGGCCTTCTTTGGGGCCCTCTTGGAAGCCTTTTGGGGTCCTTTGGGGCCTTCTTGGGGCTCTCTTGGGTCGTGTTGGAGCTCTTTGAGACCGTCTTGAGCCCTTTTGGGGGCTTCTTGGGTCATCCTGGGGCGATCTTGGGGGCTTCTTGGGCCGTCTTGGACGCTGTGAAGGCCAAAGAAGCGAATACGATAAAAATGTACGTTTTCCTATAGGAATGAAACGATTTTTGCGTCTTGGGGGTCTCACTGGGGGCTTCCTGGAGCGTCTTGGGAGCCTCTTGGGTCGTCTTGAAACCACCTTGAGGCCTTTCTGAGCGCTCATGGGCCGTCTCGGAGCTTTGCGGGTTCGTCCAGGAAGCGATCCTGGGCCCGCTCGGGCGGTGTAGGATGGCCGGGAGGGGTGCCCGAAACAGGAAAATCGAATTTCCCGTCGGTGGGAGCGCCCAGGGCCGAATTTATGTACGGGGGGGGGGGGGGGGGTCAGGGGGGGTTTTCCGATATAATAATATTCGAAGAGGAATATATTGGAGTGGTGAGCGTTCCACATTATGCACTCACACTTCACAAGGTGGTTGAGACATGGCCGAGCATGTGCGTGGGGTGGTACACATATGCAATGTAAACTCACGGGGTGCTACAACGCTGATGGTGTAATTGTTGCGGGACGGCTGGACGCAACAAATGCTCCCCCGACGGCTGACGCTTGTAATCCGCAACAGCTCATGTTTACACACAAGGCTGATACGTATACGGGTATGAACATATATATATATATGTCATGAAAAGGAAAAGGAGGAAAGACGGCGACGACGAGGAGCAGGACAATAACAAACATGATGAAACCAGGAGGACGAGAAGGATACACTGAAGGGGAGAAGGGCAGGAGGCGTAATAGTCATGAATAGAAACTTGTCGACGGTGCCGGCAACGAGGAAGGAGAAGAGGGTGACAGGGCAGGAAAAGGAGCAATAGAGGGGGGGAAGGACGAGGAGGCTCGAAATATGACGAGGATGAGAAGGAGACAGGTGGAGAAAGACCAGGAAGGTCTGCCTGATGTTGTTTGTGCTCTCTTTCTCTACACCGACATAGGTTTCGACATAGGTTTCAACCTGTACACACTATGTTGATAGGGAGGGGAACACACATGCGTATAACCCGTATAATTGTTAGCAGGTATATCTAGATCATGGAGGCGTATGATTATAGAGATAATATATATATATGTTTATCTATGCGTGTGCACACACTCACCTATGCAACCGAAGCTACGACCACGACATGAATCACCCAAGACATCGGGGCCAGCTCACCATAATGTTTCCAAACAAACCTGGCCATTGTTTGTTCACGCTGGAGGGGCAAGCGTGCCCACGAAACTGGGCCAGTGTTCCAGCAAGTGAATCAAGAAACCCTGGTCCAACTTTTCGGCAGGAGGCTTCTGAAGCAAATGCTCGATCGTAGATGTCGAGGGAGAAGGGGGACGTGTGTATGTATGGACAGATGGAGGGGAATATGAACGCTGGCAATAAAATTAGCATGACGACATGCGACACGACGATGAGCAAGACGACGAGCAGGAGGAAGAAGGGATGAGGCGGCGGATAAGGAAGAATATGGGAGTCGAGAAGAGAAACGAGGGAATACAGATGATGGGGATGATGTTCTTGGGGACGGACCTGCAGCCAGAGGAAGGATGAGGATGAGGATGAGGAGAAGGAGGAGAACAGGAGGAACGACATTGATGCTGTCGGTCATAGGGGAGGAGGGAGAGGAGGAGGGATCAGGACGAGGAACCAGAGGATGGGGGGGAAATGACAACGATCACTCGACAAGACAAGACGAATCAGGGGCCATGGGTCGGGAGGAGAGTGAGGAAGAGGAAGAGGAAGAAACTGAGGAGGAGGAGGAGGAGGCATCCTGAGTAAGGCGGGGGGGGGAGGACGTGGAGAAGAGAGGAGGAACAATAGGAGGGGGGAGGATCAGGTGGAAGTTGCGGACGAAGAGGAACCTTCTTACGAGTAGGGAGAGGGAAAGGTATGTGTACGAGGGAGAGAGAGGGGGTCGATGGAGGAGGGGGGTGAGGACGCTTGGAGGTTTGGAAGGGACACATATGGTGCCAGGTAGACGGATGGTGGAGGGGGGTGGGAGTGAGGTGGTGGAGGAGGAGGGTGGAAGGAGGAGGTGGGGGAGGGTGTTGGACAGGAGGAGGAGGGAGGAGAGGGGGGCCCCCCCCCGGAGTCATGCGCCGCAGCACCTCTCGGCGGGCCCGCCCCGTGCGTTGGCCGTCCCAGAGGCTTGTCGACGTTGAGGACTGCACCTGACGAGGGGCCCCTCTGCTGCAGTCTTCTGTGGAACTTTGCCCCCACGTAATGCGTGGTTTCGGGCCTCCGACGGCGACTCGTGCGAAGACCAGCCCGCCTACTCACTACCCGCCACCACCCCGCAATAAACCCCTCACCTACCCACTCATCTTCTCCATATATCTTTCGCCTAGCCCTCTCCTAATCCTGCACGCACTACCGACGTAGCTCCCCTACTCCCCCACAACCCCCTCCCCTCCTCTTTACTCCTCCTTTCGCCACATCCTTTTATCTCTACATCCGACGCCACTCCAATTCATCTGCCATCCTCACATTCCTACTACTCCTCCCCCCCTTCCGACCTCCTCCTAAGTCCTCCCCCCGCCCACCTCTTTCCATCCCCCTCCTCCCCCCCTCTCTTTCCCTCCCCCCTACCCACTCCCCCTTCCCCAATCCTCCCTCCTCCTCCTCCTCCTCCTCCTCCTCCTTCTCCTCTTCCTCCTCCTCCTCCTCCTCCTCCACCTCCTCCTCCTCCTTCTCCTCCCCCTCCTTGCCCTGCGCAAGACATTGCGCACCAGAGAATCTCCGCTGCACAACAAAACGAGTAGCCCAGCTCCTGGGAAGAACCTCCAAGATTCCGAGCAACTTGCCGCCGCTGGACGCCTGTAAAGAGCCTCTCTCGAACCTTGCCCAATTCTTTCGTGCCTAGTCTGGCAGGTGGCCAGTGCAGGGCACCGCGAGCTTCACAAGGCCCCCCTCCTCCTCCTCCACCTCCTCCTCCTCCTCCTCCTCATCATCATCATCATCATCATCATCACCATCACCATCATCGTCATCATCATCAGCATCATCATCATCATCATCATCATCATCATCATCATCATCATCAGCATCAGCATCGTCGTCGTCATTGTCATCGTCATCGTTGGCATCATCTCCATCATCATCATGAATCAATCTCTTCATCATCATCATCATCATCATCATCATCATCATCATCATCTCATCCATCATCATCATCATAATCATCATCATCATCATCGTCATCGCCAGCATCTCCATCATCATCATCATCATCATCATCAGCATCATCATCCTCATCCTCATCCTCATCCTCATCCTCATCCTCATCAGCATCGCATCGCATCAGCAGCGTCATCATCAGCAGCATCGTCATCATCATTATCATCAGCATCATCTGCAGGCGCTCATCATCATCATCATCATCATCATCAGCATCATCAGCATCATCATCATCAGCATCATCATCGTCGCCATCAGCAACAGCATCATCATCAGTTGCATCATCATCAGAAGCAGCCGCATCATCATCGTCATCATCATCATCATCATCATCAGCAGCAGCAGCAGCATCCTCATCAGCATCGACAGTAGCATCATCATCACAACCATCATAGTCATCAACATGCCCATGCTCCGCATCATCATCATCATCATCATCATCATCATCAGCAGCAGCAGCAGCAGCATCGTCATTCTCAGCATCATCACCTTCACCATCATCATCATCAGCAACATCATCATCCTCACCAGCACCATCGTCATGACCATGAACATCACCGGCATCATCGTCATCACCATCATCAGCATCAGCACCATCGTCATCATCAGCATCATCATCACGACAATCATCGCTACCATCATCATCAGCAGCAGCATCATCACGCTCAGCATCACCATCACCATCACCATCATCATCAGCACCTGCATCAGCATCATAATCAGCAGCATCATCATCAGCAGCAGCATCAACATCATCATCAACAACATCATCATGCTCAGCATCACCATCACCATGACCGTCAGCATCAGCATCATCATGATCATCATCATCATCGTCATTATCAGCATCTTCATCAGCATCACCATCATCATCATCACCACCAGCATCACCATCATCATCAGCATCATCAGCATCATCATTATCATCAGCATCATCATCATCCTCAGCATCACCATTCCCTAGCATTAATAGTGTTAGTATCATCGTTGTTATTAGCATGTGTATTCTTATCATTCGTATTAGTACTCGCATGTATAATATATCATCCCTATCCCTTCGTTCTCCTTCCTCCTTCTCCTCATGCTGCTCCTCCGCCTCCTTCTCCCTCCTCCGTCCTCCCCCCCTCATACTGCGCCTCCGCCGAACCGAGAAATCCGCGCGGACTTCCGAGTGACTCTGCTCGTGCAGCTTTCTATTGCCCCTCGGTCGCAACAGCAGCAACAGCAGCAGCAGGACAGCAGGCTGCGGCAGATTCGCGCCGTGACGACGTCCGCGCTGGTCTCTGTCTCTGTGTGGATCGTTCAGCCCTGACCTGGGCAAGTCAAAGGGTCGGGAGCGGCCAAGAGGGGGATGTCCAAGAGGGTGGATGCAAATCATGACCGGCGGCATGTGCGCGGCCCAGCGGGGGGGCCAGGGACGTAATGGAATGAGAAGAGGCGCCATGAAATCTGAGGAAATATCATGGCCCCCGCCATGATATCCATCCCCCCCTAGTAATCACCCCTTTGCCGCTCCCGAAAAGGTATCGATACCGCTACTCCCCGGACCTCTCCCGGGGTGCGCTCTCGCCAGGACGTCTAAGCGGCTCCCGCCGTGGCGAGGAGGGCCTGCCCCGCCAGGAGGCCCACAGAGGGGAAGACAAGGGAAGGGCAGCGGTACACGTCGGTCGGAAAAGTAGGTAAAAACATGAAGTAGGAAGGCGGATGAAGTTGATTGGGTCCAGGCCCCTCAGGGAATAACAAAACACAGCAAAAGCGTGTCGATCCTTGAAATAGGAAGGCGCTTGAAGTGGATTGGGATCTGGAAATCCAAAAATACCTACTTTCAACGATCGGCGTGTGTGGGTACTGTTCTCCTCCTCTCTGATGAACGATCGCGGACGTCAGACAGCGCGGGTCGCCCGCGCTGGGGTCGAAGCCGCGCCAGCGCGGGGCAGGCCGCCGCAGTTTCTCTGTCCTTCCTTCCTTAGCAGCAGCAGCAGCAGCAGCAGCAGCAGCAACAGCGGCAAGGAAGAGAAGAGCGTCCCAGGAAGCCCAGAGAGGCCCGTGAACCTCGAGCCTTGCAGTGGAAGAGAAAACAGCATACACATAAACTTTCGGAGGTCCGCGCGGATTTCTGGGACCGGCGATGGACCCCTCACTGTCGCGCGGAGCGCGCCGGGGGCGGCGAAGGATGCGCCGCCAGGGGGGCGAGTGCCCGACTCAAGAGATCCACGCGGAACTCCGAACATTCATGCCTATGCAGTGTTTTCTTCTTCCAGCGTCGTCGTCGTCGCCGTCGCCGTCGCCGCCGTGTCGATCAATCGATCCATCGAGCCTCGATGCTTCGATCCTCGATCTCTCGACTCTCGAGCCGAGAGCCTTGAGCCGAGAGCCCTCGATCCTCCAGCCTCGATCCCCGGGTCTGCGAGCCTCGATCCCTCGAGCCGAGAGCCTCGATCCTCAGGCCTTCTAGCAGAAGGCTTCGACGGTCGGGAACCTCTGCTCAGCGTGTCGCCACGGCGGCCCTGGCGACACGCTGTGCCCTGCAAGCGGATAGCGTGTCGCTCCGCTCCGCGGAGCGGGAGGCTCGGAAGAGGCTCGGGACGCTGGAGCCTGGGGACTGGGAAATGGACAGCGCGTCGCGCCGAAGCGTGGTGGGCCAGAACCGGCGGAGTGACACACTACTCAAGCATTCCCGACCCGATCCTCGAGCCTCAAGCCGAATATCTCGATCATCGAGCCTCTCTCGGGGGCGCGCAAACATGGATTCGCGATCCATGAATTTGGCGGGCGGTCGCCAAATCCATGGATCGGGGGAGGTGCCCTCCCCAAAATGCGGCCGGTGCCGCCTCGTTCAGCGGCAGAAATTCGCGATTCCCATGGAAACGGGACCCGTCGCTAATCCACGCCCCCTTAATCCATGTTCGCGATCGCCTGACTCGCTCGATCCCCCGATCTTCGAGCCCTCGATCCCCCCCAGGCCTTCGATCCCCCCGAGCCACCATCCTCGAGCCTCGATCCCTCGTGCCCCAGACGTTGCGAGAAAAATGCAAGATCGAGAAATACTACAACCAGAGCCCTCGACCCCATCTCTCTGTGCGCCCTTTTTCCAAGTCGGACCGACGCGCGAGGGTCACGGAGCCCGAGAGCAGGCGAAAGCGCCTGTTAAAACGCACACGCAGCGCCAGAGTCTCGAAGGCTCGATCCTCGAGCCTCGCTCGATCCAACGATCCCCCGATCCCTCTGTTCCCCGTGGTCCTCGATCCTTCGAGCCCTCGATCCCTCGAGCCTCGAGCCCGCGAGCCCTCGAGCCCTCGATGCCGCGACCCCTCGAGCCGAAGCGCCTCGATGCCTCGATGCCGAGGAGCCTCGAGGCCTCCTCGGCCCCTCGCTGCCTCGACGCCCCGCCTCCCCGCCGCGGCGGGGCCCCCGCCGGGGGGGCCTGCGTCGCGCGCGGCATGAGCGCGGGCAGCAGGGGCAGCGACAGCAGGGGGAGCAGGGCGGCCAGGGCCTGCGCCTGCGGCGGCACTGCACGCCGCCGAGGGGGGGGGAGCGCGAGAGAGAGAGAGAGAGAGAGAGAGACAGAGAGAGAGAGAGCTCCTCCTCCTCCTCCTCCTCCTCCTCCTCCTCCTCCTCCTCCTCCTCCTCCTCCTCCTCCTCCTCCTCCTCCTCCTCCTCCTCCTCCTCCTCCTCCCTCAAGATACCTTCTGACGTACCTCCAAAAGGCCTGACCGTGGCAAGACGGTTCCAAGTGCTCTCGGAGCCCCCTCATGACCCCCCCAAGGCCAACATCCTTCAAACACCCAGGGTAAGGACGCAGTGGAAGCCCAAACACGCCAAACATATCAGTTTTCCAATAGGAAATCGACGATTTTTGCTAATTTGGGGCTCTATTGGGGTGCCTCTTGAGGCGTTTTCGGGGCCTCTTTTTGTGTTTTTTCGGAACTCCTGGGGGTCTCTTGGGCCAAAAGGCGCAAACTTCCAGTTCCTCGTCCCGTCTTGGGCGCCGCCTTGGGGCGTTCTTGGTGGTGGGCGGGGGCTCGAAATGTCAGTTCGTGTTCCCCATCTGGGGCTCCTCTTGGAGTGTTCTGGGAGCTCTTTTGGGCCGTCTTGGAAGCTTCCTGGGCCGTCTTGGGGCCCTCTTGGGCTGTCTCGGTGGTCTATTGGGGGCCTCTGGGCTCGTCTTGAGGCGATCTTTCGGGCCTCTTGGGCCGCCTTGGAGCGTCTGGAAGCCGAACTGGGGAGAACGCCAAAACCCTTCAAAACCCGCTAAGAATCAGTGACAATTTCCTATTGGGCCTCTCCTGGAGTGCTGTCGGAGACCTGCTGGGACGCTTTGGCAGCTTTTTGACCGTCTTGGAGTGCTCCCTGGTCGCTTCGGACCTCTCTTGGGCTGTCCTGAGGGCGTCCTGGACCATTTTAGAAGGTCCTGGGAGCGTCCTGGCGTCTCCGGCGGCCGGCGGGGGGGGTGACCACAGCCACTGGGCAAAGTGAGGCCCCCCCTTGGTCCAGGACCCCCTCCCCATTTTTACTTAACAGCGAAGACTGATAGGTTTCTAGTAGGGTCAAAAGAGAGCATCATGACGCCCCAGGGGGGTCTGGGCGGGATCCGGGGGAGGATGCCGGGGACTCCTTTTTTAGCCAACAGTAACGCACTTCGTGGTCTTCGAGTTCCCAGAACTCCATTCCTGGGCATGATTTTGAATGCCCGGAGCCAACTGTAGGCCACTTCGTGTTCTTCGATTTCCCAGAACTTCATTCCCGGGCCACATTTTGACTGCCCGGAGCCAACTAGGCCACTTCGTGCTCTTCAAGTTCCCAGAACTCCATTCCTGGGCATGATTTTGAATGCCCGGAGCCAACTGTAGGCCACTTCGTGTTCTTCTAGTTTCCAGAACTCCATTCCTGGGCATGATTTTGAATGCCCGGAGCCAACTGTAGGCCACTGTGTTCTTCGAGCTCCCAGAACTCATTTCCCGGGCCACATTTTGAATGCTGAGGCAGGCTGATGCTGAGGCTGAGGCAGGCTGAGGCTGAGGCAGGCTGAGGCTGAGGCCGAGGCTGAAGGCAGACTGAGGCTCAGGCTGAAGCAGGCTGAGGCTGAGGCTGAGGCAGGCTGAGGCTGAGGCTGAGGCAGGCTGATGCTGAGGCAGGCTGAGGCTGAGGCTGAGGCTGATGCAGGCTGAGGCTGAGGCAGACTGAGGCTGAGGCCGAGGGTGAAGGCAAGGGCAAAAAAGGGGGGGGTGGGGGAAAAACTTGAGGCTTGAGCTGAAGCAGGGCTGAGGCTGAGGCTGAAATGATGCAGGCTGAGGCGAGGCTGAGGGCTAGGCTGAGGCTGAGGCAGGCTGAGGCTTGCGGCTGAGGGCTGATGCAGCTGAGGCTGAGGCAGGCGGGTGCTGAGGGCCGAGGCTGAAGGCAGACTGAGCTGAGGCTGAGGCAGGATGAGCTAGGCTGAGGCTGAGGCAGGCTGAGGCGGAGGATGAGGCAGGCTGAGGCCACTCATGGGGCTGAGGAAGGTCAGCAACCTGAGGCTGAGGCTGAGCCGAGGCCGAGCTCTGAAGGCGGATTGAGGCTGAGGCTGAAGCAGGCTGAGGCTGAGGCTGAAGGCAGGCTGAGGCTGAGGCTGAGGCCGAGGCTGCGCTGAGGGCAGGCTGAGTCTGAGGCTGAGGCTGAGGCAGGCTGAGGCTGAGGCTGACGCAGGCTGAGGCCGAGGCAGGCTGAAGTTGAGGCTGAGGCAGGCTGAGGCTGAGGCAGGCTGAGGCTGAGGCTGAGGCAGGCTGAGGCTGAGGCTGAGGCTGAGGCTGATGCAGGCTGAGGCTGAGAGGCTGACGCTGAGGCTGAGACAGGCTGAGGCTGAGGCTGAGGCTGAGGCAGGCTCAGGAGGCTGAGGCAGGCTGAGGCTGATGCAGGCTGCTACTGAGGCTGAGGCATGCTGAGGCTGAGGCTGATGCCGAGGCAGGCTGAGGCTGAGAGGCTGACGCTGAGACTGAGGCAGGTGAGGCTGAGGCTGAGGCATGCTGAGGCTGAGGCTGAAGCAGGCTGAGGCGAGCTGAGGCAGGCTGAGGCGAGGCTGAGGCAGGCTGATGCTGGAGGCAGACTGCGGCTGAGGCTGAGGCTGATGCAGGATGAGGCTGACGCAGGCTGAGGCTGAGGCCGAGGCTGAAGCAAGCAGACTGAGGCTGAGGCTGAAGCAGGCTGAGGCTGAGGCAGAGGGCAGGCTGAGGCTGAGGATGAGGCAGGGCTGGGCTGAGGCAGGCTGAGGCAGAGGCTGAGGCTGATGCTGGGTGAGGCTGAGGCAGGCTGAGGATGAGGCCGAGGCTGAAGGCAGACTGATGCTGAGGCTGAAGCAGGCTGAGGCTGAGGCTGAGGCAGGCTGAGGCTGAGGCAGGCTGAGGCTGAGGCTGAGGCAGGCTGACGCTGAGGCTGTGACTGCGACTGCCGTTGCCACTGCGACTGTCATCGCGAACGCGACTACGACTGCGAGAACAGCAGATTTCTACAACTGGATTATCATCTGAATCTTAAGGGGAATGCTTCCAGATATGCTCCTACACATCACTGTTAGGTTGCTTTGCCGGGATAATTATATATATATATATATATATATGTACACACCTATTTTTATATATATATATATATATATACATATATATAGACATACGTAAAACATGTAGGATTGTGTACACAGGAGAAGGACAATCTATAGAAACATACGTACGTCGTCCAAGGCGCCTCGGAAGGCGCAGAATACTCCTCCAAGGCGCAGAATCAGGTTCCCGGACCGCCTTCCGGGAACATGATGGGGACGACCTCCTGAGGGCCTCCAGTGGGCCTCTTGGGGGCCTCTCGGAGGCCTGTTGGGCTCTCCTGGAGGCGTCTTGGGGCGCGCTCAGGGCCATTTTTGGACATCTTGGGGGCCTCTGGGGGCCTCCGGGGAGGCTCTTGGGGGCCTCTTTGGGGCCTCTTGGGGCCTCGCAGGGCCCTCTTGGGGCCCGCTGGGCTCACTTAGGCAGTCTTGAAGCCCTGTCGGGGCTCTCCTGGAACCGTCTTGGGCGGCTCCTGGGCCATCTTGGGGCTCTCCTGGGCCGTCTTCGGACGCTTTTGGGGGTCTCTTGGGCCGTCTTGGGGCGGTCTTGGGGGCCTCTTCGGCCGTCTTGGAGCGGTTTTGGGAGACTCTTGGACGGTCTTGGAGCGTGGGAACTTCGAAAAAGCGAGAAGGCCAAAAACATAGAAACAGAAATAATAAAAATCAGCGATTTTGGCTTGTCGGCGCTCTCTTGGGAGGCCTCTTGGGATGCCTTCGGGGCCTCATGGAGCTCTCTTGGAACGTCTTCGGGCCTTCCTGGTCATTCCTGAGGCTATCTATGCGCGTCTTGGAGCGCTCGCGGGCCGTCTTGGGCGGTCTCGAACTGTTCCGGGCGGTCCCAGGGGCCCTCCGGGACGCTTCGGACGCTCCCAGGGGCGCCCTGCACCCCCCATGGAGATTAATGGCAGCGCCCCGGGCCGCCACCGGGCCCTACTCCGATATATATATATATATATATACACACACACACACACACACAGCAGTCCTTCTCTTCCCTGTACGGGCCCGCAAGATCTTCCGCCCCAGTGCGCGTCCGGTTTCCACACGCAAGGTTGGGCCGAACTGGTTTTCAGATGTTTGTTGACAATCCGATTGCTTTCACTGCTTCAAAAAAATGGTGCTGTCGCTGCAGCGTGAGCCTCATTTTCGGATCGGCGATGTGCTCCCGTCGTTCACAATGGCGCTACCGCCCCAGCGTGGGCCACTTCTCTGGATCCCACGGGTCTCGCAGGTCTCACAGGTCTCGCAGATCCCAGAGGTCCCACAGGACCCACGGGTCCCACAGGACCCACACGTGTCGAAGGTCATCCCGCAGGTCCATCAGGCACCACCAGTCTGACAGGTTCCACAGGTCCCACAGGTGTCGCACGTCTCGCCTGCCCCACAGAGGTCCCACAGGTCCGACAGGTCCCGCAGGTCCTCCCAGGGCTGTCGCACGTCTCGCAGGTCCCAAAGAGGTCCCCCAGACCCCACAGGTCCCGTCCGCATCAGCGCAATGGTAAGGGATGGGAGGGAGGGACGGATAGGATGTGGGAGGGAGGGAGGGAGGGATAGGATGGGAGGGAGGGAGGGATAGGTTTGTCAGATGTGGCGCGGCTGGCTTCTCCTCTCTCCCCTGTCCTCTGTCCTCTCTCCTCCCTCCGCCCGGCTGCGGCGGGACTGCACGCCACTGAGGCCCGACGCGTCCGCACCCCAAAGGGCGGGGGGCATCGGAGAGAACCTCTTTGTCACCCGTGCAGGAGAGGAGGAGGAGGAGGAGGAGGAAGAGGAGCAGGAGTCGGAGTCGGAGTCGGAGTCGGAGTAGGAGTCGGAGTAGGAGTAGGAGTAGGAGTCAAGCTAGCCAGCTCGAGCGAGTCAAGCATGGCATGCCCAGTCCCACCCGCCCTCCCACAACATAAGAAGCACAGCTGGCACAATTGGGGGCCGAAGTCACACCGGCCAGCCGGTTTGGTACAGCTGATGCGGCCGCGATGGCGGTTGCCGACGGGAACTGGCGAGCGCGTGTTGAATGCCGCGCACGCATTGCCAGACGAGTCGAGAATGGCCCGGTACACCGCAGGAAGCCAGAGGTGGCCGGAGGAAGCCCGACGGTCTGACAGGACACCCCAAAGCATTTTTGTGAAAAAAGCATTGGGTTTTTGATGTTTTTATGTTGAAATGCTTGCAAACACACGGTGTTCGGTAGGATTCTGACATGAACGCGCGAGTGTGCTCTTTGTAGTATTTTTTGCGCAGGATTCGCGGCCTGGGTGCATGACAGAGCATCGCGAGTGCACCGCGCGATGACGTGAAATCGCTGGATTTGACCGAATTCTTAAGATTCCTATGGTTTTCCTATGATTTCAGCAAGAGAGCCCGGGCGGGAAATTTGTACAATTTTTGTGAAAAAGCATTGGGTTTTTGATGTTTTTATGTTGAAATGCTTGCAAACACACGGTGTTCGGTAGGATTCTGACATGAACGCGCGCGTGTGCTCTTTGTGGTATTTTTGCAATGGATTAGAGTAGGAGGAGGGGTAGGAGTGAGGAGGAGGAGGAGGAGGAGGAGGAGGAGGAGGAGGAGGAGGAGGAGAGAAGGGAGGAGGAGGAGGAGGAGGAGGAGGAGGAGTAGGAGGAGGAGGGGGGGGGGCGGGAGCAGGAACACTGGCCGGATGAGAACCTTTCCTGGAGGAGGGAGCGGGGGGGGCGCGCGCCGCCCCCCCCCCCCCCACCCAGCACCATCCTCGCGGACGCCTGCTACAGCTGCGGCACGGCTGCTCAGGCCACTGCCAGTGCGTCGGGGCCGTCAAAGGGGATTTGGGAGCGGGAAGGGGGGAGGCGGCCCGTCTATCTCCAGCTCTCGTTGCCCGACTTTTTGCTCGTGCTGCGCTCTGCCGCGCCGTGCCACCGCTGCTTGCCGCACCCGCTTCTCTGAAGGCAGCCTTTTTTGGTGTGCGAAATCTTGATGTGGTTCATGACGCCACGCACGCCGTGCAAAATCTGGCGAAGTCCAGAGGAGGAGCAGGAGGAGGAGGAGGAGGAGGAGGAGGAGGAGGAGGAGGAGGAGGAGGGAGGAGGAGGATGAAGAAGAGGAGGAGGAGGATGAAGAAGAGGAGGAGGAGGAGGAGGAGGAGGGGAAGAGGGAGGAGGAGGATGAAGAAGAGGAGGAGGAGGGGGAGGAGGAGGGAGGAGAAGGATGAGGAAGAACGATGAGCGGGCCTTCCACAGGCCGTCGAACTGGTGAGCCTCCAGCGGCAGGCCGGTGGGACGCACGCGGAGGGCATGCAGGACGAAGCCCCCGAAGTAGAAGCTCAACACCATCCTGAGGGCGAGCGGCACGGGTGGGGGGAGGGGGGCTGGGCGCCTCCCAGAGGAGGTAGGCGCAAGTGCGATCAAGCAGGTCTTCTTCAGAGCGAAAGTCTCAGGGAGAGTGTGCTGTCGAGGGCCAGCCACCGAGGGGGGGGGGGTGTAACGGTCCAGCTGTGGCACTGCTGCTGACTGGCATTCGGCATTCTGCTGCATTCTCCCTGCATGTTCCTCCTCCTCCTTCCTCCTCCTCCTCCACCCTCCCTCCTTCCCTCCCTGCCTCCTGCTTCCTCTGCTCGTCCTCCTCCACCTTTTCCCCAAACCTTTTTCCTTATAAATGACTCCTCCCCGTTGCGCCCCGAGTCGTGTCCGTAGGGCGGGCCAGACGCTTCGCTGATACTTCTTAACCATTTATGATTTTGAATCTAGAATTCGCAACAAGTTCACGGATGGAGGGCGGGCCGTTTTCACAACGTGGCTCTCCGCGCACATTCGTCTTGAAAGTTTGCAAGACTTCCACGGATGGAGGGCGAGTGGTTTTCAAAGTGTGGCTCTCGCGTCAGCACCGCGCGCACTCGTCTCCACAATTCGCAGACACTTCACGGAGGGAGGACTGCTCCTTGTCAACATGTGGCCTTCGCCTCAGCGCCGCGCGAATCCGTCTTACAGCATCTGCAAGAGCTTCGCGGATGGAGGCCGGCCTCTTCTCAGCATGTGGCGCTCGCTTAGCGCCGCGCACATTCGTCCCCAAAAAATCCCCAAAGCTTCACGGATGGGGGCGGGCGGTTCTCAAACCGTGGCTCTTAGCATTCGCGCCGCGCACGCTCGTCTCCACAAGTCGCAAGAGCTTCAAACACACACGCACTTCAAACAAGAGTGTTTTGTGTGCTTGGTGTGTTTTGTGTGTGTGTGCTTGGGGTGTGTGTGTGTGTGTTTTTGTGTGTGTTTTTGTGTGTGTGTTTTTGTGTGTGTGTGTGTTGTGTTGTGTTTTGTTGTGTGTGTGTGTGTTTTCTCAACAAGTCGCAGGAGCTTCACGGATGGCGGGTGGCCTCAACCTGTGGCTCTCGCATGATCTCGGCGCACATTCGCCTCCCAAGCGTCGCGAGGGCTCCACGGACGGAGGGCGGCTTCCCCCTCCCAGAAAACGGTGGCGCTCGCCTCGGCGCCGCGCGCCTTCGCCTCGACAGTTGCTGCCAACATGTCACGGGCGGAGGGCGGGCCGTTTTCATGCTCTGGCGCTCGCCTCGGCGCCGCGCACATTTCTGGACAGGTGCAAGACTTGCATGGGTGGAGGGCGGGTGGCTTTCAGAGTGTGGCTCTCGCCGTAGCGAGACCCTTCATCTTGAGCACTTGCAAGAGTTTCACGGATGCAGGGTGGGTCCTTTTCAAAATGTGGCCTTCGCGTTCGCTCACCGCACGATCGTCTGAAACATGTGCCAGAGCTTCACGGAAGGAGGGCTGGCCATTTTCAAAACGCGGTTCTCGCCCTATCGCCGCGCACATTCGTCTTGAACGTTTACCGCAATTGAGTGGATATTTATGGTTGGCGTCTGAGAAATGGTAATCTGGCACGATTTAGGGCAGTCAGGGCGCAAGAGTGACGTCGCGGTGATAAAGTACCAGGACTGGTGTTCTGGCACGATGCAGGATCGTCACGACGCAACAGTACAGTTTGTTTGCGGCGTTGAACTCCAAGAAGTGGTGTTTGGGCACGGTTGGAGATTCTGAGACGGTTGTCCTCCATCGGGGCACTTCCAGCAGTGAAGACAAAGCCTTGTAGGGACATATACAAAGGAAAATTGGAGGGAGGTTTTATTGCATCATCGTTGATGCGCCCTGGGTTTGCACAGGTCCTCCTCGTCCTCATCTTCCTCCTCCTCCTCCTCCTCCTCCTCTTCCTCCTCCTCCTCCTCCTCCTCCTCGTTCTCCTGCGCCTCCTCCTCCTCCTCCTCCTCCTCCTCCTCCTCCTCCTCCTCCTCCTCCTCCTCCTCCTCCCCTCCTCCTCCCCTCCTCCTCCTCCTCACCTCCTCCTCCTCCCTCCTCCTCCTCCTCCTCCTCCTCCTCCTCCCCCTCCCCCTCCCCCTGGGTCACTGGTACAGGGGGGGACTTTGCCCTGGAGCCGGCAACGCGCCGCCGATCGAATGGTGGCAGGCCCCCGATGGCGAGACGGCAAGCTCCTGGGCAGGCTGGGGCGACCAGGCCCCCATCGGCGAGGGGCGAGCGGTCGGGGGTCGATGCTTCACCCGCTGGGCCGAATACCCCCTGATGGGCGCGTTTTCCACCACCACCCCCATAAGTTGGAGGGGGGAGGGAGGAGGAGGAGGAGGAGGAGGAGGAGGAGGAGGAGGAGGAGGAGGAGGAGGAGGTGGAGGAGGAGGTGGAGGAGGAGGAGAATCCATGCTTCACCCGCTGGGCCATATATGGTGGTGGCATTGGATCAGGAACCCTTAGATAAGGAATCCAGGGTCTGGAAGCCGGTGGAACTCCAATCGAGGACGGGCCACGGATATCCCCGCCGCCCTCATCAAATGAGGAATCATCCAGGGTCTGCAGCCTCCTGGGCACATTCCTTAATCAACGCCCCCACCGTACCCCCTGTCAACCTCCTTCTCTTCTTCCTCGTCTTAGGTAACCTCCCCCTCTACCAAGGCTGAACTGCAACAACCAGCAGACACTGGCATCCGCAATGGCAAGTACCGAAACTTTCCATCGGCATGCGGATTCTTAGAACTGCCAAGGTTCTCAGTGCAAACCCCCAGCGGGTCTGGAACCACGCCTCTCCAACAATTCCGTTGCGTGGCCTCCTCGATAAGCGGCCGCGAAACCTTCAGGGGCGACACTGTCACAGACGGCTCGTAGCTGAGAGAAGGGTCAGTCAGATACCATGTAGCATGATGGGCGGTGATTCTGCCAGGGGGGACCTTTGCGCGGCTCTGTGAGGGGCCAGTGGGCGACCAGCATCCCCAGACGTGACGTCCCCAGACACGTCGCTGTCCCAGATCGCATGGAACACTGCCCACAAGCGACCGCCATCCACTCGGATCTTCTGTGCGTGTTGTAGTCTGCCTCGGCACCTTGGCCGCAAACGGTCTCCAAACATTACGTTTACGCTGGATTGCAAGTTGAACTCCGATTTTGTCAGGCCTGGGATGGGCCTTTCACCATCCACAAGGTCTCATCACACGTACAGTCAAACATATGATCAAGAAAACTATAAATTAAGAAAGCTGGGCCAGCATTTTAGAAGATTCTTGAGGAAACGCTGGGCCAGCTTGTGGAGCCAGGAACGTACACTATTCATTTCTAGGATCCAAGGCTACCAATCTCCTTAAGAAACTGAGCCAGCTTTCGGGCAAATTGGTTAAGAAACGCTGGGCCAGCTTTTCGGGGGGGAGTTTCTGAATCACAAGCGGGACCGTAGATGCTGACACGTCGGAACCTCACACAAGGGATTGGCGCCAGGCCCAGGGAAACGGTTTCGCAGACAAGTATGCAAAGCTTGGTGCCTCCCTTCTTGCACAGCCATCGCTTGTGGAGCGCTAGGCTAGGCGTACAGTGACAACGCCGCAACTCTGAACTGGTATCTATGCTACGCGGTCAAGGAAGGGGGCGCTGCTTTACCCTGGGCAGGCCCCGCCGAAGAAGCAGAGACCTGCCTTCAAGAAGGACTTGCGGAGGCCAGAATTCCACGTTTCCAAACGAGGAGGAGGAGGAGGAGGAGGAGGAGGAGGAGGAGGAGGAGGAGGAGGAGGAGGAGGAGGAGGAGGAGGAGGAGGGGGGGAGGAGGAGGAGGAGGAGGAGGAGGAGGAGGAGGAGGAGGAGGAGGAGGAGGAGGAGGAGGGTGGGAGGATGAGGAGAGGAGGAGGAGGAGGAGGAGGGAGGAGGAGGAGGAGGAGGAGGAGGAGGAGGGGAGGAGGGAGGAGGAGGAGGAGGAGGAGGAGGAGGAGGAGGGAGGAGGAGGAGGAGGAGGAGGAGGAGGAGGAGGAGGGGCATCGGCGGCCAAAGAAGCTCTGCCAGAGCCACCGACGCGCGCCCCAGCGGAGGCCAAGCCGCCCGGCCACTCTTGGAGGGGCCGCGCCCCGGTCGAGCTCGCTGCCCCCCGCTCTTGCCTATATACCACCCCCCACAGAGACAGCTGGTGCCACCGTCAGCGGAGCGTTGCAGCCTAGATCCTTGGTCACGCACGCGCCGCCGCCAGAGGTAGAAGGCCCGGCAGAGGTGCAGCAGGGGGAGTGTGTGCGACAAGGGATGCGGTCCTGTCGGGTCTGCTGCAGGAGGAGTCGGAATGCGAGGCCCTCGCCGCCAGCCTGGTGTTCGGGGCACAGCGCAACTTTCAGCGCCGTTGCTGCGAATCCTCGCAGGCATAGAACATCCATCACGTGCCACGGAGACATTGCCAGCCCGCACAACAAGAGCAATTGGACTAGGACTCCCCAGAAGAAACACCCGAACTCCTTTCAAAAAGTGACGGATTCACTTCTACCGCTACCCAGCCTGGATGGAAATCAAGGTGAGGCGGAAGGGCCATGGTGCTCTTGATGCCTTGATTTGAATCGCCGTGCAGCCCCTCGCAAAAACCAACCGAAAAGAGGGGTCCTTGGGCTGCGCGCCACCGAAGCAGCAAACTGAAGGGGCCCTGGGACACACAAATAAATACACACAAATAAAAAGGTTCCCCTATATTTTCCCATATTTCCTGGGTCTTTGTCTTCCCGCCCACTTCCCATGTCTTCCCATCTTTTCTTGGGGATCGACGATTCATTGTGTCTGTGTGTTTTTTTCCCTCCTGACAAACACGCGTCGCAATCGCACCTCCAGTGCCTCACCGTCGTGGGACGGTCCTCTGCCGCAATGGGCGCGCCGCGCGGGCCTCGAGGAGGTCCCGTGGGGGAAGGCAGCCGGGACCCGGGCCTCCTGCTCGCGCCTCGCAGGTGGAGGGGCGGCGGGAGGTTGGAGGCCTGGAAGTGGGCACCAACACCACCACAGGGGGGGGTGCCTCCACAGGGGGATGATGAT